AGACAAGTCACTATCACTAAACATTCTCCCAGTCTGCATGTTACCAGAAAACTTGAGCAGTGATGATGTTACATCCTCTTTTAGGTCTCTGAATTTTTTTTTTAATTGCTAAAGGCTAATCTGTGTTTAAATCTTAAGGTTAATATGTTCTCCGTGAAAATTACACATTCAAAGGACATTTTGAAATCAGTTAGTCAACACCTAACCCTTTTAAGGCATAATGTGCTAATTCTACACAAGCATCCTTCATGGAAATATCGGGTCCTACAATTCAAATATTCTATGGAAATGTTAAGGATTATTACATAGTAACATTACTTCCTTTACTCACCAAACTTGTAAATTTATCTAAAATACATTTTTCATCAACTTCTGTCAGGTTGGTCAAGTGGTATTGGTCATGATACTTTCCATTTTGTTATAAGCTTTTCCATCCCTGTTTCTGGAATAAGGGCTGTTCTCTCTTTACAAACCAACCAAATCAATGAAAAACCACACATGATAATTCATCCAGGTGTCTTAAACCTCCACAGCATCTCCAGACCAACTGATTGGGAAAATAATATTAAAAACTGTTGGATGAAAGTTTATCCAGAGCTGCTGATTTTGAATTCTTTAATTGGAACGCTCTTATTTTACATTCTCAGGCTTGCATTGGTACAGGAAGTATTTTATTACCAATCTGGAATTTTTATTGTCTGTTTTTCACCCCAAAACAGAACAGAAATATTTAATGAACATCAGTGTTTCTTTTTTACTCCACTTGATTAGTCAAATTCTTCACATAGCAGTAAAATAGTAACAATTCTTCTGTTTCAAATTTATATTAAAATTAGACAAATCTTTGTCATTCAGCATTGCTGACTGCAGATCTCATTTTCTTTTACATTTTTTACCAGCTTTATGTTTCTGATTTTGTATTTCTGACAATTTTAGCACTTTTTTCCTACTTATTTTTATTAATTTAAATGTTTTTGGTCATTGAATTATTCATATTCTTGTCAGCTCTCCAACCAAGACTGCAGTGTAACCTTTTTTTTTTTTTTTTTTTTTTTGAGAAATTTTCTTGAACAATGCAGAGATATATTTCCAAAAGGACATGTTTCAGTTTCTCACTCTTTCCAGCTTTCCGAATTTTCCCCCTAAACCACCAAATATTTAAATTACTGTTTTGGCCCTTACCGTGATTCTCTGTAACAGATGACCCTCTTGTATCTCAGCCAGCACTGCTTTGGAGGCTTCACAATTAAATCTCCTTTACCAGTGTGGGTGAGGGCAAACAGATTTCTCTGGCTTGCCTGCTTATTATTACTACTCCCCTTAGGAAACTTGAGGTCAATTTAGTATCAGCAAGAGAAGGCTTTTAGCATATTTTGCACCGATAGAAATCACATACAATGTCACTTCTCTCCCCACTATGTGGAGCAGAGAGGGAATTTAGTAGTCAGCCATTCTGCTTTCACACCTGGTGGTCTCTGGACAATATGTGCTACTACACGATCTTGTTTTTATGCCAACATAAGAAAAAGACATTTTCTTCCCAGCCCAACTGTGCTGGCAGTGGGGACAGAGCCAGAAACCAACACACAACCTTATGCCCACTGAAAACCACCAACACAGCCAATCTGGTGATTGTGCCCTTCATGTAAATACCCTTAATCCGGTTTGTATAAAAGCAGACTGGTTTCAGCTCCTGGCTGCAGACAAGGTGGCTGCTCTGGCCTGGCTAAGCAGAGGCAGCTGCCCACAGCCTCTAGCACCACCCATCACCACACGTGCAAGTGATTTCTGCCCAGCTGCCAGCAGCTGGAGAATACATAATCGCATTTTTACAGTCCATGAAGCTTTTTCCTGTTAGACCTTCCTGCCATGGCTGTCTTCAACATTTCAGCCACACGGGCTACCTCAGCCCAGCAGCTACGTGGGATCTGTGTGCAGGTGGGATCCGTCTGCACTCCCTGCTCCTTATCACACTGGCAGCTGGTGCTAGAGATCAGCAATTAAAGGTTACTCTCTCTTTGTATCCTTCAGTGTCCAACTTAATTTAGATCTCAGCGTTTTGGTTGTGGGCTAAATGGGTACTCATCTGCTTCCTTGTTCTCCCATCCCTTCTGTTATTAGTTTCTAGCTCTCCAGGGAGACCAACTTTAATGGCAAGGATTTTATCCACCGCTAGCCAGATGCCTCAGAGACCAGCACCATTGAAGTATTTTAATGAAAAATATGTTCCTGATGAAATTTGGATGGCATGTTAACAAAGACAGATCTTAGTCCTCAGCATCACAGCAGGTGTATTATGTGAAAACATAATCCACTGTGCTTCAAAGGGTTTAATAAACTAGCCTGTCTATTTATCCTGTGCTCATCCTCCTGTTATCTGAGGTCCTTACAATTTCCACCATGCAATCATAGGGGAGACTTGTGATTTCTAATCACCATTTTTTTGACTCTCCCCTTTTGGAAGTGTCGACACAAAGGCGATACAGGTCTGGAAGAAGACACTGAGGGGGAATGCAGTGACCTCAGCACCTGTCTTGGCTTTGTTTCTGACTTTACAGTTTGAGCATAATGTCAGCAAATCCATTTACTCTGGCAGAAAAAAGAGGCACAGCCTTTTCATCAGCATAGGGAAATGAAAGATCAAAGATCACTTGTAACTCATAAAATACTGCAAGGCCATTGGATCAAAGGCACTATAATAAGTGCAAAATATTGTGATACAAGTAAAACATCTTGCCATGTGTTCCAGACTCTTTCCTGCTGCATGGATTTCTTTACTTTCTCCTCTGCATTACAACAGGGGAAAGAGATTTTTTTCTAGTGATTAAATCTTCAAAAGATTGTGCTCATAGTGGAAAAAAGCCTGGCAATAGATCCACCAATGTAAGATTTTTCAGATGTTAAATACAGGCAGCAAGTGAGACTGGAGTTTCAGTCATGGACTTGAGCAGGCATTTCAGAGCAGACATTTCATTCACCTCACTCTTTTTCTTCTCTGAGCTTCTCCATCATCTGGACTCTACTTACAGTATTGTTTTCTTTATTACCATTATGGTATCTTTCCTGTTTCATTCAAACCAGACCCAGTGCCACAGTGCATTCACTTGTGCCAGCTAGTACCTTCCATGATCAGTGGGAAAGATGCTCCTGGCAAGACTGCACACCTCTGCACTTAGCACCTCTACAGTGGCACTGCCTGAAGCTGAATTCTTGCTGCCAGAGTCATGGACACAGGAAGTTCCTCAGTATTAAAAGGAAGCGTTGCCCAATCTCACCACAATACATGTAACAGGTCATATAAGCTGCAAGTATCTGGTGAAAAAATGCAGCATCCTTCGTTTATTAGACTGAATACACACGTGATTGTATCCTCCAAAACATCAAACAAAATCTTACCTACAATAAAAAACAGGCAAGTTAGAAACCCCCAATTGTACATACTTCTATTAAAACAAACAAGGAGACTATTTAGAATTTGGGTTGTTAAAAATAAAATTATTTAAAACAGCCCAGAAAATCTTTATTACACACAAATAGTTCCCTTTTTGCTGTCCAGAATACAGTCTGAGTTCCTCAGCAAGAGTTTGTCTTGCTCTCCCAAAGGCGTTTGCAGTACTCCAGATGGCAGTGTGACTGTGAAGCATTAACCACTGCAGACCTCAGCTAGCATATGGAAAAGAGGTTTAGCAGCAGGTTGATCAGAGTCCAGCCACAGCGGTGGGCAAAAACCCTAAGCAGCTGTTAGGTCTCAACACTCACTTGGGGCACAGATACCCTTGTGGTGTGGAAATTTTATTTCCTCAGTCATATAGATCATACAAGTTAACTAGGAGGGACCTTTTAGTCTGTTTTTAATTCTGAACACCAAAACCTGACAATTCCTTTCTCTTTGGGCCTTTATGTTATGCCCACACTTATCAGAAATGAATAAGGGAAAGCAGGAAAATTCATTACATGTAAGACTGTCTGATGTAAATGCTCCATAAAATCCTTTCCTACCTTTGTGGGCACGTAGGTATCCACTGGTCTGTATTTAAATCGTAGACTTCATGTCATGCAAATAAATTTAACAACAGTTTGAGATAAAGTAGTCTATTGCATAAAAACAGATGGAAAGTGCTTTTCTTAAAGGAGTCTCTGCACGTGGATAGTTTCATTGTGTAACAACAGTGCCTGAACATTATCCATAAACACTGGACATGACAAATATCCACATATAAGTGGCCCTCAGCTGCCAAAGACGGGCACACTAAGCAGCTGGTGCTGCTCTTGGCTGTTTGATGCTCCGTCTCCACTGCTGCAAGCTGACTCGCTGACTCTGGTGAGCGGCCTCCTGCCTGCCCACTGCTCTCTTCCTAAGTCATCACCCAGCCTGGCTCCGACCTGCCAGCCCGTGCCTGGGCAGGTTGCCCTTACCAACGCCCAGCGGGAGAGAAGTGATTTTCAAGGAGTATGCTGAGCTGGAAAATCCACAATGGTCCACAAGGATAATTGAGTCCAACCCCTGGCCAGACCCAATGGTTATACCATGTGCGTGAGAGCATTGTCCGAAAGCTTCTTGAACTGTCAGGCTGGTGCTGTGACCATTTCCCTGGGGAGATGTTCAGTGCCCAACCACTCTCTGGACGAAGAACTTTCTCCTGACATCCTACCTAAGCCTCCCCTGACACAGCCTCAAGCCATTCCCACGGGTCCTATCACTGGTCACGACAGAGAAGCGATCAGTGTCTGCCCCTCTGCATCCCATCGTTGAGTAAGCTGCAGACTGCGACGAGCTCTCCCCTCAGTCTCCGCTTCTCCAAGTGACCTCAGCCGCTCTCGCACTGCTGCCATACAACCCGCACGCACCGTGCGGGAGCTGTGGGGCTGCCCCAGGGCACTCCCCGCGGCCGGCCCAGCCCGGGGGCGCACACCTCCCACGGGTCGGGCGCGCCCCTCACGGCCCTCCCCTCCCGCAGGGCGTCGCGGCCCGGCGGGCGGGCGTGGGAGGGCGGCGCGGCCGGGCTGGGCTGGGCCGGGCCGGGCCGGGAGCGCCTGGCTGCCAGGGGCCCGGGCTGCCCTCGCTCGGCGCCCGCCGCCGCCCCGCGCCCGCTGACAGCGGCTGACAGCCGCCATTTAACCCTCCTGCCGCCGCCGCCTCGGGCAGCGCCGGCGGCGCCTCCTCCGCGGGAAGCGCCGCGCTCTACCCCGACCCGCCGGCCGCTCCGCCTGCGGCGAGGAGGTGAGCGCGGGGCGGGCAGGGGGAGCCGACCCGGCGGTCCCGGGGCGCGGGCGGGTCCCTGGGTGCCGAGGGGTGGGGCGGTGAGGAGCCGGGCTGCCCCGGGCTCGGAGCCGGCCGGGGCCGGCTGTCGGCGCGGAGCCGGCGGGCACGGGCGGGCAGAGCCGTCGGTCGGAGCGAGCGGTGCCGCGGGATCGCGCCGCGATCGCCGTGACGCGCGGTCCGGGAGGTGTTTTAAAACACCCGTGTGCCGGCAGGTCCCGCGTTTGCCCCCGCCCCGGGATTCTCTGTCTCGCCTCTGCCCCGGAGGCTGCGGCTGTCCCGCCCGGAGCTCCGGTGCTCCAGCGCTTTGGAAGTGCCGGGAGCATCGGCGCGGGGAGCGACTGCCCGGGGTCCTCGCTCGAGTCCGTATTAGGTAGGAATAATTTTAGTGTTGTTTAGCGTGTTTTGTGATTTCTACTTTACATCGTTCGCTAGACTGGTCAAAACCGCGTGAGTACACGGCAAACTCCGGGTAAAGCGTAGGAGAAAGCTTCCGATACTGATAATATTGATACCTCACGGTATTTCAGCCCTGCTTCTCTAACAAACTTCTGATTGTATCAGCTGTGCCATGTATGTTCTCCATATGATGATCTTCATTATAAATTCGTCCAAAGAGATAGTTCCAGGAACAGTGGACAGTGTGTGTATATATATATATATATATATAAAATATATTATTTTTTTTAAAAAAGAAACTCTGAAGGGGGAAGGAGAGAATGGATGACTGCATTCCTTCCCTTATGCCATAAGCTCTCATCTGATATGTTTAATTTTTTGCATTCTTTATTTATAATTGCTCAAACATCTTCCCAAATCTCTTTATGCTTAATAAACTTATTTTCACTGTACATTTTCCAAAGTAAATATCATCCCTATGCTCTGTTTGTTGTAAACCCTTTGGTTTCAAAGGACAGATGTTGCTGGCCAGCCTGCTCTTGAATTGCTATGTTAATATCAAAAGGAGCTGAGAAATGCCAGGATTTTGTGAGATCTGACCCCAAATATTAATGAAAATAGGCTTTATCAGCTAATTATTGTTTTTTTTTCTTGCGCACAGAGGATTTGGTGCTGTCAGTTTCAGCCTAGTGAATTTATATGCATAATTTTAATAAAGTCATTATCTGATAACAGTGTAAAATTGTCGGATGTGTAAATAAGATGAGAGATGCCTTTGAGGATGTCAGCTCCAGCCCCCTGCTGTGGCAGACATCACATAGACACTTTCCTGGCTAAACTAAATATCTTCCAAAAGTGGCATATTTTTGGCCCTGACCACTCTGGCTGGTCAGCAGTGATTAGATTTTGATAAAATGTGATAAATAGTTAAGGTGTTCAATCTTTACTGTCAAAGTGGAGAGATTATATGGTAGGTTCTGAAATTCCCAGCAGGTGGTAACACTTCAATAGCTGCCTAATCCCATTGCAATAAGCATATGATGGTTGAAAATAATTAATCTCTTTTCCAACATACAGATAAAATGTGAGGAAATCAATTTGAGGAAATGTTACAGATACACATTTCTTTTTGTTGTTAGTGCTGCTTGTAAAATGAAGGGAGGGTTTAGGGACTTTCAGGCTTTTCTGTCTGTAGCCTATTTTGCTGTCAGCCTCTTGTACATAGGCAGAACTGTGCAGATTTTCGGCTGCAAATACAACTGAAAAATGTTTACTAGTGAACAACTCTAAAGGATTTTTTTTTTTCTCCCTAATTTCAATAAAAATCCAGACCGTGGCTGGTTGCTGAGTCCATCGGAGTGCCTGGGGTAGGTGCCGCTGCCTGGGGCAGTACCTGGGGCAGGGGCAGGTTGGTTCCAAGAGGGTCACTCCTCAGCCTGACACCATTTTGCCCCCACACCCACTCCCTCCCCAAGCCCTTCTCCCATGTGTCTCTCTCATGTGCCCTAAGTCTGGAGGTTTCTGTGCCATGGCTGTGTCCACCTTCACCTGCAGCTGTGGGGTTGGTGGGACAAGGAGAGAGCAGGGCTGTGCTCAGAGGAGAGATGAGCAAGAACAGGCCTGTCACTGAAGGAGGATGGGAGCTAGGGCAGGGGAGGGCTCAGCTCTTGGTGGGGATTTGCAGAGAGGAAGAGAACTGAGGGTACTTGTGGTAGGCGAAATATGGGCTCCATCAGTGGCACTTCTTTGCATGAATGAGGCTCCAGAACACAGAGGTTTTGAGTGCCATGGATTTGTGTTCTCATTAAACTCCATGCTTGGTCATAGAGTGTCTGATTAATTCCGATGGCCCCTTTTTTGAGAGGCTTATTTACCTCTCATCTCCCTAATGAAGGGGGAGTAGGCACTGAATGCTGTGCTGTTGCAATTGGTGGAGGTGGTTACTGCTAAATCAGCAGGTGACAGCTCTCAGAAGAGGTGGCTGGTGTCTGAAATGTCATGTCTGTACTGCAGCCTTGGATACTGCTGCAAAAATATCAGGAGTCATAAATCCTGTTGGCTTGGAGTTTTTTATTTGTTTGGTTAATTTTAGTTGGTTTTTTTTTGTGAAACCAAAATGATCCAAATATATTTTATGGTTTTAACGATGTAGGGAAAGAGGTACATTTTTTAATAGATTAATACATATGATTCTAATAGGCAGTATTATAGCCTATTCTGTTACTTATTAGCAAAAAATATTTTAAGTACAATTTCAAATTTCACATCTGGCTCTTACATGATTAGTGACACTGTGTTCCTGCAAACCACACAGCTGGTGAGGATTTATTCTTGTAGCCCCCATACTAGATACAGTCTCTAGTGGAGAGCTGTGCCACAGGAAAAGTAAGAGATGTGACCAAGATAGCACAGGAAATCTGCTGCAGAGCAGGGACTCAAAATTTTCCTGTGGCATTTGCGTTGCACACAAGCCTCTTGGTCTTCGCTTCCAAAGCGCTTTATGGCTTATGCCCTCCTCATCTGTCATTTCAAATTCCCTTTGGAGAGGAAGTCTTCCACTTCCAATCAGCCCATTACACTGTCTCTTGGAAGAAGAAAGCATCTTTTTATGTTGCTGTGCTTCTGCTGCATTTTGCACAATAGAGCCTCAGTTCATGCTTGTCCACGAGAGCAATAAATTAAAAAAGCCAATTATTTGAAGTCTGATAGCCTTTGCCATTCCATCATTTTTCATCTCATTAAGTTAATGAACTTCAGGTAGAAGATCTGAATAGAGTAGAAACCATTTAAATGTACTGTCTGCTTCAAAAAGCAAAATTTTATGTGAGTGAGAAAAGAGGAAAAAATTATTTGAGCAGGGGGCAAGAAAATGGAGAATTTGGAAGAAGACCTAAAAATGAGAAGAAATCTAGAAAGAAATTGGCTTAGAGAAGATAGGAGAGGGGAAAATTCTGAACTGAACTTAGAAGTCAGTGTACAGCCTGTCCAAAACTGAGATGAGACAAAAGGAAGAAAAGCAAAGAAGGGGAGAGGAACAAACCTGTGCAAAAAGAGAGGAGTATGGGGGCACAACTACACCAGAAATGGGCCAACATTGCATTTAGAGCTGCTGTTGGAATTCAGCTAGCAAAGGTGCAAAAGCTCAGGGAGGCTTCATGGAGCACTTTAATTGGAGATTTGTTCAAATGTAGGGCTGTACTGCAGCTGGTAGCCTGAAGTAGCTGTATGTGTGTGAGGTGGGAGGGCTCCTGCTGCAATCCAGTTGCTGCAGAGGCGTGCAGAGGGTGAAGTAGCCCTGGGCTAGGCTTCCAGAGGTACCTGATCTCACTAATTGGAAGTTAGTGTTGGTACAGTTTCAAATACTCCAGTTCTAGCCTGGGTGTTACCCGCACTGCACACCGCAATCTTTTCCCAAGCAAGCCAAGATAATGCAGAAGGAAGTGTGAGAGGGAAGGAGGTTTTGGTGTGACAAATGATTGGCGTTACCGAAACACCCAAGGGCTCTGGCGCTGGGCTCCATCCCCGGGCTTGATTAGAAAGAGTCTCTGTCCTGAAAAGTCTTTACTATAAATACAGAGTGTGAAAGATGGGGTGGAAAGGAGGGGAGCAGATTAATGCTGCAGTTTGCTGACATTATGTCTGGCAGTAGCAGGAATAGGAACAGAAGTCGGGTCTGGTCCCTGTGCCTCCTGCTGGCACCCTGTCTCATAAACCATGCTGCTTTTTCCTCGGTTGGGCTGATGTGGAAATTAAGATGTAAGGTAACTACCTCAAGAGTGCTCTCCTACACAGGCTTTTTTCTTTTTTCCTGATTATTTATTCTCCTTTCCATAGCTTCATTTCCTCTGTGCATTTCCTCTAATGAGTGTGTTGCTCATTAGACTGAGATTAGGATTATTTGAATTTCATCTGTCAATGCGTGACTTTCTGAAAAAAGTGTTTGTAAAAGCCATTTGAAGAATCTGCAGCTAGGAAAGCTAGGAGTGGAAAGGACCTGTTAAAGTCATCCAGCACAATCACGGTAGTGGCCCACAAAGCAATTTTCCCCTACTTTATTTCAGGGCAGTTTACAGCAATGCCACATATCTTCGAGTTTTCGTTGAGCAGTTAACTCTAGAGGCCAAGACATCTATCACAATTATATTTCTTAAACAAAGCCTGCTTTTTCTTCTTTGGACTACTGTGATTCCGTGTTTCGATTAACTGATTAGTGTTCAATAACAATACGGGCAAGGCATGATGTTCTGGTGTGGTGCCGGCAGCGGGAGGAGTTGGGGAGCGGCTGTCCCGGGAGGCAGGCTGGCTCCCCGCTGCCCTCCCTCAGCAGCCGCCCCTCTCCTGAGGCACAAGGTTTGTCTTCCTGTAATTTACAGCGTATCAAGAGAAATTGAGGGTGGTGGCGGTATCACTGTCCCTATCTAATGCTTTCTGGAGCCCTGTCAAGTTCCTGGGCCAGATGATGATTATTCCTTTCAGATATGTGCAGCTATTATTGTAATGGGCTTTTACTGAGCAAGGCTGTGCCGCTAGTCTCTTAGAAATTATTCTCTCCAGCCACTTGGCACAGAGAGCAGTTCAAAAAGCTTTCAAGTAACACATCTGCTGCGTCTTAGTTCAACAAGCTGAGCAGTGTAATTGCTGAAATATCTTACTTGTGATTCCTAAAGACATACATGATCTTTGCCATACTTGGTTCCTATGTTTTACCATTATCCTCCGCAGTTTTGCTCATTCCTAACTTCTGCCTGTTCCAGTGCCAGATTTCTCTCATAAAATTTGGTTGTAAACTTAATGGATCAAGACCTTTCTTGCATGTTTATGTGATGGTGAGTACAGTGACACTGACCTACAGGTGCTCCTGTGAAATGCAGAAGAGCAGTTCTCATATTTTGAAATGGCCTCTGTGTATAATTTCTCTTTATAGAATCCTTCCTACTTAAATTTCTGAAGGAAACTACTTGGTTTTGCTGCTATCATTGTGCTTCCAACCTATTTTATCTAATTGCTATGAGACTCATAAAGACTAGTTTAAACTACATGGACATAAAACTGGGAAATTTGCCAAAAAAGTCTATTTCTATTGTCTTAGCAAAGGCTGTCATGAATGTAAACAAAAAATTACGGATGAAAAAGTGGAAGTTAACACCTTCTCCATCTGATTAGTCAGAATGACATAAAAGGCAGCTGTGGATCTCTTGTAAATCTAGTAAGATCACTAAGGAGTTTGATGACCAAAAAAGTAGTTTTCCAAAAAAGCAGCTGAGCTAATAAACTATATGAATTGTGTACCAGCAATAAATCTCCAATATTGCTATGTCCTGAGCTTGAGTTATATTTTGTATAAAATACTCATTATTTTGCTATTGTGAACCTTGGTCATAATAAGATATCCATAGCAGCAGTTCCTGCAGTGCCAAGATAGAATTATTGTTATCTGTCTTTGTTGTTCTGGCTCAGGAGCTGCATTTCAGGATGGAAAACTATTGTACAGTGAGTTGTACCTATCCTTATTCAGATGTGTTGATACAGTGTTAATAGTTGTTAAGTAAATGAGAGAAAAGTTAATTAATATTTGTTTACTTTTTAATTATTTGTTTTTCTTCTTGTATTTTATGAAGGAAAGTTGACACAGCTGTAATTTTTAAACTTTTAGGTGTTCTTGGAAAACGTGCTGGCACTTTGGAGCTGAAAAAGGACATGAGGAGTAAAAGGACCCAGGATCTCAGTGGTCAGAATGAAACATATGTTGAAAGATTTTTCAAATCTTTTGTTAGTAGTGCTCTGTGACTACGGTGAGTATTAGAGCAAAAACTGTGACGTGCATTCACAAGGTAGTTTTGAATGGTGGTGTTTCCAGGTGATCTGTGGAAATGAAATGCTATGGAAGCCACCACTGATAGGCACAGAATTTAGTCTAGATCTTGTGCAGTAGTTAGGTGGAAAATGCAACTTGGGTAAACTGTCCCTTTAGATGAGTGTTAGGACCTTTTCCTGATGTAAATTTGCTCAGAGAAATAAACAAGATAAATGAACAAATTTCCATGAGCATCAAGGGACTGGCTGTGCTAGAAGTAGTGGCTGGAACTCTGCTGTCTTGTCTTATATTTCATAATATTTAGTGAACATCATGAAAGATAGGCCTGGTTTAGGTATCCATAGTAGGATGGATGGAAATATGCACAGAACTACCTGTTTCTCTCCATTTCTAGGAAAGGAACCTGGGTAGTTGGGTCCTATCTACATTATAGCAAACCTCCTATGGCTGAGTGAGCCCCCATCTGATGGATCTAAGTTGTCACCCAGAAAACTTTTGAGTACAGCAGAGGTGTTCTTTCCTCTGATTGTATAAGAAGCCAAAGGATGATGTTCATACACACTCAATCTTAGTCACATAAAATTAGGCCGGTAGTCAGAGGCAATTAGTCTTGTTTGAGTAGTCCGTGCACAAATCCATACATATTGAAAGCAGCTCTTACCCATCTGCAGCTGAGATCTGTAGAATGAAAAAGCACCTCCTTCTCACCATCAGCTGCCAAGGAGGGAAGTTAGACATCCCAAGTTCAAGTCAGCAACTTGTACAAGCTGACGGGCATCATATGTGTAGTGTCTTATCCTTTCCAAGAATGTACTAAGTAGGAAGTAGGTTTGCAAATTACTTTCTTATTGCAGAGTGAATTAGAAATTCTGAGAATGGGACTCTTAATTCCTGAGCAATTCATATGTTTTAGAAGATTTAATTCCTAGTTTAAAAGCCAGTGTTGTTTTGACAGCTGCAGTACATTATCAAACCGTGCTGAAGGATTAAGCTGAGCACTGCAGAAATAAGTACAGTGTGGAAAGCATGGGAAAAGAAGTGGTTAATTCTCACTTATGGAATGAGCTGTAGCAGGTAGTTCTTGCATCAGACAGATGAAGATGTCTTACGAAAGAGAGAAACGGACAAAAACGTATGCAGTTTGCTGTCCTTGTATAAGTGAGAAAAATGATTGTAAGCAATGACTGGTATGCTACTCATTCCTCTGTGTGTCCTCAATCTGTGCTGCTGAGCAAGGGAACCCTAGAAGATGTAGAGAACCTAGAATCACTATATTTTAGATGAACTTGGTTCTAGTAGAAATAAAGATCTTGTCTATGGTTTTTAGTACCATTTTTCTTTTACTAAGACAGCTAACCAGCCCAGTTAGAAATACTGCACTGAGTGGGTAACACAGTGAAAGTAAGTATTAAATTCACTGTAGCAAAGATGTGAGCCGAATGATCACAATATCCACTGGTTCTTGGTGAGCCAGTCCTGTAGATATTCACAACTGATTAACTCAGATATAAAAGCTATTATTATTGAACTTTATAGAGTGTGGCACAGCAAGTCATTATGAGGTGCAGTTAATGAGGTAAATCTCTGCTGCAAACTTTAGGTGCATCAACTTTCACCTTATGTCCAGTTAAAGGGCAGCCCATAATACAGAAAATTGCTTCCAAACAGTTCTGCATATACGTATCTTTGAATATTACTGTGTGCATCGATTTTAGATAACTATTTCACTTATATATTTCTCTGTTTCAGGCAAGACTATTTTTAAGTGATCCAGTATGCTCTGGAAAATTACTGAAGTGCTATAAAAAGCCCTAACATCCAACTAAATTGTATTCTCATTTCTTATCAGTTTTACTGATGTTTTTGTTCTACTTAGCTCTGTGTTACCAGTGGCTGACAACCCAGCAGCACAACCCAAGTTGGCTTAAAAACACTTTAAATAAATAACTATCTGAATAGCACCCTCAAGTAATTCTTCTTGCTCTTCAGTGAAAATCAATGACTTTTAATCTTTTAAAGTGTGAATTCTTACAAAGACTCCTCTGGCAGGCTGTTGGTACCACAGCCAGACTTCTTTCAATAGGAGACCATTGTAATGACAATGAAAATGATACAAGTACATTGAAAGATGCCCCTGACTGGCTGTCCAAACGACTGGCACGAAGTTTTGGCATGTGGCAGAGTCATGGACATGTAGTAGGCTGGAGGGCAGCTGAAGGAGCTTGCCATGGAAGCTGTCTCCTGACTGGTGTCTTTTGGAGCATTGTGAAAAACTGCTGTGTGGGCTGTCCAAAAGTGCAAATTTCTTATTTACCAGACTGGGGGAAAGGATGCTGTGAGCTGGGGTGCACCAGCCAGAGCTCTGCAGTGCTGTAACAGCATCCTCCAGTAGTGCGCACTTCCTGAGGGATCTGCATTTAGGGCTGATGGACTGCTCCACAGCAGTCCCCTGCCCTCCTGTCCTTCCTCTCAACATACAGAGTTCCTCATCTCTGCCATTCTAAATAAAAGAGTGCAAGAAGGTCAACGCAGTTGTAAAAGAGTGTAAGGACAATAAATCAGTAGGTAGAAATATCAGTGCTTTTCATTACTATCGCTTGAATGTTTTTGTTGTAAGTTTAAAGTTTAAAATTGAAATTTTTCATGCTGGGTTTTTGCCATGGTCTGATTTCCTTTTCCTTTAATGTTTCAGCTACATTGAATCTAGCTGGTTCCCATGTAGAATGCATCATTTTGCCCACTATCAAAGGAAAAAAATCCCAGCAAGTCAATGCCATTTCACTGGGAAACTCTAACACAGCTGTGAGAACTTTACCTTTGTTAGAATTTTCACAATGGCCTGGGACATGCTTTCTGCTGTCCTTATGAAGACCTAGATCTGGTCCAGATCTAAATCCTTGCAGATGTCTGAGATGAGATTCTTTGAAGTGTGCCCCAACTCTCGCTGGCTCCTCTTGCCAGCCTCATACAACACCATGCATGCTCCAGCCCAGGGCAATAATTCCCCAACATTATTGGACGCAAGAATTGATTGTCCTGTGCTCTCTTATGGAATGCTAGCCCTGAGGAAGGAGGGTGGGAATGTGCTGGAATTAACCACAGGCCCAAGGAACCACAGAAGATAAAAGAGCTATAAGGTAAAGAGATGAGGGCAGGAGTTGGAAAAACTATGGTAACAATAATGGAGTTAGGCTAGTACCCAAGAGATACTGAAAGTAGATGGTGGTAGAAACAGGACTGTAAAATATGTGCAGGCACATGTGACAGAACTAAAACAGGAAGAGCAAGGAGAATGTCTTGCTGGGCAGTTCAGAGAGACACTTTTCACTAGTGTTTAGGGTCTGTCTCTTACTCTCTGGGTTTCCAAGTTGAGATCAGGTTTGCTGTGGTGCCATGTGCTCACCACAGCTGCAATGAACAGGATCCTGCTTTGGATGTCTGAAGGACCGTTGTATTTAAAATTGGGTCCTGGCTTTCACAGGGCATCACAATTAGTTGATACTTGACACTTTTTGCCTTTGTGCTTGTGCCTTGGTACCGAACACACAAAACAAGAACAGTGACCTCCTCTCATTTGTCAGGGATTTTAGAAGGATAAAGTCATTAATATTTCTAATGCACTAATACACTACAATAAGAGCACAATAGGAGAGTCCATGGGGGAAAATGAATAATTCTGTGTTATCAGGATGAATTTTGGACAGTGTGCAGTCAATAATACATAGGACCACCAACAGAAGACTGAGAACAAAAGAACCCTCTGATAATGAGCACCATCCATCTGCCAAATGAAGCAGTGTCTTGTGGAAATGCAAATGAAAGGCTGGAGTTATAGTACATACATGTAAGAGTATATGCCTGATTTATGTGTGTAAGGCTGTGCATGCCACCTTTATTTATTCGGACTTTATGTATGTGGTTGGAGCTGTTTATTTTAAGGACATGTTATAGCTGGTGGCAAGTAATAGGCTCTTTTTTTCTAGTGCACACTGCACCCCACTGTCTCTACACAGTCAGATGAATTTCTTCCTGAAAATCTTTCCTGCTGAGAAGAAAGTGAATCCAAGGTGACTAACTCAAATTGAAGCTTAGAGTAGTAGGCGTCTAATATTATGTGAGATGAGTCCTGCTACTCCTGACTGCTAAGTGCTTGCCTTGGCAGTTGCAATGTTTTTCCAGCAAAGCTTTCTTTGAGGTAATCTTAAGACATGTGTAACAGATTTAACAAGTCAAAGTATTGTTAGTTGATACTACTTATGAAAGGATTGCTTTAACTGAAGTTTTACACTTCCATGGCACCGTCCATCTAAGACTCAGAAGCCTTTCCCCAGACAATTAATTGAATAAAGGTGTCTCACAGCACATTCTATACCTGGAATAGGTGTACGCAGTTCCCATTTTTCAGATAACCTTTCTGTGTCTGAAATCCTTAAGGTTCAAGCAACGCAGAAAAGGTAGCTGAGCTAAGAACAGAAATGTGATCTTCCAATTTATTGCTTTAGATATATCACTAGTTACAGCATGTCTTGGGATAATTTGGCAACTTGCACAAACATGGTCATGCAAGAAGTGAATTTGAAAGGACTGCACCATTTATAATGAAATGATGTCATTTCGACATGTTGCACCACATCTGAGACAAGAAAAGTGCTGCAGTCACCACCACTGTTATTTTCAGCTCTTTCACTCAAGTGTCTGCGATGCAAATGAGCAAAATGAAAGATTCATAAGACAGAACAAGAGAAAAGGCTTCAAAAAGCATCATGCAGACTCCCTATTCTATTTAACTTGGGGGACATTTTTCATCTGACTGTGTAAGGAACCACTGTCCTTTTTTTGCTAAATTACGGCTGAAGCTGAAGAACAGCTGGCCTCTGTGGAGTTTAAAAATCTGTAAGTGAAAGAAGTTGAAAAGTTTGAGAAACTATTCTGATAAATTAAGGTTTCTGTTAATCTTTTGGGTGGTTTGTGGTTTGCTTTAAAAACTGGTTGTTACCTTCCTGAATGTGTTACTGCAGTGGACTTTGAGTTGCTACAAATCACATCCCTGCACAGAACAGAGCTGTTGAGCTCTAACTGCTATTGCTGGTACCTTTTCTTTTTCTGTGATCTGGTTCACTTGAAAAAGATTGAGAACCACTTTTAATATCCATTTTTAAAATATTTCGTTTTCTTCCATAGGAACAGTCACTTGTCTGTTTCTTAATACTGTTGTGGAACTTTTCCTTTCAGTTCTTGGGGAAGTGGAGTATCTCCTGTTGGAGCATCCAGATCATGTAGCTTTCAGCAATGACACAGTGTCTGTGGAATATCAGTACTACAGTGGTGGTAATGTGACAGCAGAGCATGTGTCCCTCCTTTTATTGGATGCCAGCACCAGTGAGATAATTGCAAGAAAACAGCTTCCAGCAAATCAGTCCCAGGGGACAGTGGTGTTTGAGTGTTTCCATTTCAAGAGTGCTGGTGATTTCTTGTTCAGAATGGTCTCTCCCAGTGACAACAGCAGTGCTGCCCAGTGGAGTAGAAGCAGCATGTCCACCCTCCATGTGGAATGGCCTGTATTTCACATTGATTTGAACAGGAGTTCAGAGGTGCTTGGGAGCTCCCTTCAGGTTGGACTTTTTACAAATGAGCAGTTATGTGGCATGAACAATACTGTTATTTCACTGGATGTGATATTCACCAGCACCCTTTATGAATTCAGAAGAGTATGCTCTGATGAGACTCTGGGCATTAGAACTAGCAAAGGAATCCCCCTGTCTAGGTCCCAGTGGGTAGAATTTGATTGCCCACCTGTTGGTCAAGAAGTATACATCACCGTGTTACTGAAATCGTTAGAAACACATTCCATCATTGCTTCCATGGGACCTGTAGATCTCCTCCAAAAATTTGGATACAGACTGGTTGTGGCAGCAGAAGACATATGCAAAACTTTGGTTCAGGTCTTCGCAATCTCTCCACCGTGCACTTCTATGAGTGGAAAAATTGTTGTTTATAAAGAGGCTCTCAAGCATCCGAGTCAAAAAACAACTTGGCTGTATGAAAACATCCTTCACCCAGGAGATAACAGAACAGAATTTAACTGCACTTTATTTGATGTTGGGAAGAACAAATACTGCTTTGACCTCCTCAACTTCTCAAATCGAAGCTATTTTCCAGCAAGAGTTAAGGAGTGTATACTGATCCAAAGGAATATGGGTTTGTACTGATTTCTTTTCTCTTTTAGCCAAAATCAGCACTCTTCCCAGCCAACACTGGTAGTGATTTTGGGTCTCCTACACCAGACAAAACAGTTGTAATGTTGTACACAGATAGACTGTTATGTAGAAGACACAAGGACATTTGATAACAAGTGCCACTGTGGTAGCTTAAGTCTGCACTAAGTTAATGCTAGGTACCAATTAAAACCACTTAGGGCATTCTGAATCTTGTACCTATCTCGTCAGGCTGAAAATGAAGCTTGTCCTTTTCAGTGAGGTAAGAAGCTACTTCAGTAGATCTGGTCCACTGGAGACTCTAAAGGTAGGATTAGTCTTACCTGCATCTAAGTGTGTAAAAGCCAGGGGCCCAATATTAAGTAGTTGTGTGGCTTTTTATTTGAGAGGCATCTTGCAAGGGTGATTCATGGGTGTTGAACATAGAGGGCCTGAATCCTCACACGGGTGTTCTTTTCTCTACCCATTTGGTGTAGAAGTTTAGAGCTCTACCTGTTAGATGTACAAACTCTGGTGAGATGAGTCAGGATTTGGCTACAGTGAAAGGCACAGCTGTGTCACTTGGACAGCTGGCAGGTTTTCTAAGTGTCTGCTGCTTAGAACAGACAAGGGTGCATTTTCTGACCCATGTAGCTTTCTGGCAGATCATGGGCCGTGTTCATATAGCCAAACTTTTTCTTATAGGAAATATTAGAATAGTACAATCTGCCATCTGGGAACAGTTGGTGGTCCATATAATCCTTTGGATTATGCCTGCCGTGATCAGGCATGGTCTGAGAGAGTATTGGTTGGCAAAAGCCAGTTTTACAGCTATAGTGTTAGAAGTGACAGTCCACAGTTTGACAGTCTCCAAACCACGGTTGCATGGCCAAGGAAGCAGATGAGCCAAATACACTTCTCATCACTCATTTGTGGAAGGCAGCCGCAGAGAGGGATGGGCCGTATGTGCACGAGGGAATTGGGATTGGGTTGGATTAGGTTGCGTTGCCTACGCCCTGGAAAGTAAATGTTCTCATTTGAAGCAGGATTGTGTCTATAAGTAATGAAGTAGTCTTTTCCAATTGCACACTTCAAAGAGTTTGGATTGAAAGGTTTAAGATGTGCATTGTTTTCCTCACCTCCCCACCTTGGTTGCACTGAAAAGAAAGTGCAGGAACTCTAGCCAAAAAATGGCTGTTGCACTTCATGGACAGGTATCTGAGAGGGATCATGAGGAGACCAGGAGTGTAGGACATGCTCCAGAGCACACAGTCTCAGACACAACCTATGTTAATGAGGTTTCTAGCATGATGTGGTCTTATTTTGTGCTATTTCACAAATTCTAAAACTGTTAGCTATTTAATTAATTCTATGTACTAAAAATGACCTCTATTTTCAGCACATGCCAAACCCAGTGCATAGTTCTCTTCATCTTAACTTCCCATCTGCATTCTCTGTTGGCACTCCCGCTCTTCTTTTGGCGTAATAAAGTCTACCTGAAAATGAAGGCATGTTATTTTCTTAATGGAGATAATTCTCCAGGAAAAAGGGAGACAGAATTCTAGTTTTTCATCTGTACCTGGGTGTATGTTACACTGATATGATCTAGATAATTACCCTGACAGATAAATCACTAGCATTGGTATAGATATGATACTGTGCCCAATATTTAACTGTTTTAATTTATGAGATCTCCGTTAAGCAATGGTTCCCTGCAGTCTGTTCTGTTTCCTTAGGTTCCTCAGTAGTCCCATCCTTAAAACCACATTGGAAAGAATCAGGCTATGCCTCTTGAAGAGCAGAGTTAGGTCAATAGCTGCCAAGTCAAGAGTATCACATCTACAAAGCCGATGAAAGCGAAGCCACACCGTGTAGTTGTAAATAAAATGTCAACCTGAAATTAATTAGACTGCAGCACATCTGACTTTGTGCCTGTATCTTTGAGACTTCAAAGCCTGCAGGCAGCGTTTGAAAGGAGCAGGGTGTTCTGGGAGGGGCACATCAGCCTGAAGCCACGACAGATAAAGCGAACCTGCACTGCCTGTGATAGCCATCAACCTCCTGGCTCCTTTGGAAGGGGCTTCCCCGAGCCCCCTCCCCCTGCTGCAGGGCACTGGGAGGTGCCCTGCTTACAGCAGACCCCTGATAGCTGTTTGTGTAAAACATTGACTGCTGCAAGTCTCCTAATTTCTGGTTTGGACCTCCTGAAGTTAAAGGCAAGAAGAGGTGATAAATCTCTAGTCTGGGCTCCTGTGCAGTGTGGGCCATCATTTTTCATTCAGATACCCTGCTGAACCCCACAGCTAATCTTTGCATCTGACTGCCACTTACCCTCCAGAGAGTTATTGAGTCTTCTGCTGAAGACACCGCAAAACAGACGTTTTTGGTGATTTCTCTCAATACTATGCTCTGATTTATTTATTCTTTTGAAAGGGAAACTTTGTGTGTTTCATAACTAAAGTTAATCTAGCTTCATCCTCTGGTGACTGAATTTTACTCTGCTGCTTTCTGATAGCTGTTTCCTATCTACTGTCTTTGCCTCACAAAGACATCTGCACATCCAAGTCATCTCACATCTACCAGATTTTCTCAGTGTTCTTTCTAACAAACTGAAAAGATTAAGTCTTTAATTGGAAGGCATTTTCTTCAAGATTTTATTTATTTACTGATTCTGTTTCACTCCCTTTCTGTTATTTTAAACACTCAGGTTTATTTGACAGCCAGGATACCAGCTTTGTGTGCTGCATTCAGACATCCTTCTCACTGATGCTGCTTGATCAGTAGCACTCTCTTTACCCTTTCCTCTGCTTTGATTCCACTGATTGCATTATGCAATTTTCCATAAAAAGTGTACTTTTGCCCTGTAAACTCCTCTTGAGCTGTTTCAGTATGGAGCCTGCCATCCTGCAGGTGCAATTTTCATTCCTTCTTCCTACACTTCCTTTTCACTTTGCTGATTTAGGATCTATTTTCCTTTAATTATCCTAACGTAGCAAGTACCCTATGTTGCTCCATACAACTGCACTGTCTGCTTATGTCATTACAGGAGGGACATATTTTCTCAGTAATAATTTATATTTATTTTCATGTCAACTAGGGAAGCACTGAGCCTTATACTAATCCCTTTGGAATCTCTCCAAATGCATTCTCACTCAGTGATGGTTTTCTGTTGACAGTTGCATATCCAATCTGTCACTCAGCCAGTTCTTACTTCATTTAGCATATGCTCTATTGTTATGAAGCAGAGATATTTTTTTGTACAAGATCAAAGTTCCTAAATCATTCAAATGATCTTCATCCAAACCACAGATTATGAGATAAAATATGATTTTGCCACATCTCTTTTCCATAAATCAGACATGAGTTATGTTCCTGGTGCTTTGTTAGTCCTGCTCTTTACACCTCATTCAGGCCAAGTTTAGTACAGCCTTTTGGAACAGGAATCTAACTTGTGCTTGGAGCAGGAAGGAGAAAGCTCCCAGTGGCCCTGAGTGGGCCAGCAGCTCTTCGAGCCCAGGTGGTCACCTTTAGAATAAGTGTCACAAAAAACCTATGCTATCCAAGACTGTGAATATATCTGTTAAAGGTGGGGAATACATCCATTAATTGTGAGACAGCACTTGTGCAGTTTTCTGTAGACCCTAACTGGACAATCTGTGAAAGTTAGTGAAAAAATTAACAGTGAGATGTGAGTAATTTCATTCATCTTGGTGGGCTCTTCACTGTTTCACAGAGGAACATGCAGCTCATTTTTTCCCCCAATGTTTGACTGGATTATTGGGATATCTGAGGTAGGAAATTCTGTTAGATCATCTTATCCAGAAGCAGATGCATTGCAGGCTCATTCTTTCCCATGCTTAATCCTGTGTTTTGCTCACCTGGGATTTAAGTGTCCCCAGCAGTGAGACTTTTGCTCTCCTTAGAAGGTTTTCCCATGTTCTAGCCTGTATCCTGCTTGTAACATTCAGGTCAAGATTGATATTAATCAGTAATGCTAAAGCATAGAAAAAGGCATGCTTTTTCATATTTCTGGTGTTAATTAACACTTAATTCATATTTCTGGTGTTAATTAAAACTTCTTTTCCAGTTCTTAGTTACACTCTGGAGACCAATTTCAACTTTGGTGTGACTTACACTGAAGTCTCTTGCAGTTGCCTACAGCACAAATGAATTTTGTTCATCTAACTTTTGCTATTGGGATGTTGGCAGGGCATAAGAAATGCATCTGTTCCCTAAAAAAGGAAAGAGGAAGGTGTGAGAGGACCTTCTGAAAAATGGTCAGTAAGGGGGGAGAGGAGTAAATGGAGCATCTAGAGGTCAGGCGGGGATGTACAAGTTCTGTCAAATTTTTGCTTCTGAATAAAACTGTATGAATCAGATCTACTCATTGGTAGGAAAGTCTGAGAACCAATTAGCTCTGTTGCCTGAATCTGTACCTGGGTTGGGTATTTATTTAGAAACAGGCATATGCAGGAGATCTGGGTGTGCCAGGGCTGATTTGTACCATTCCACTTTTCCTGTGTCAGTCAGTAAATGCTTCATCTCCATGCATTAGGAATAAATCAAGTTTTACAGACTCACTTACAGACTCAACTTCTGGAAAAAAAAAAAATTATTTTTAGGCTGTGCCTCCCCATTTCTTAACAATGCCTATTTGTGGGGAAAAGACTCTAATTTTCCCAGAGTCTAGGATTTCTTTCTTTAAGGTGATCCTTGTCCTTTCATTGTCCAAATTAGTAACCTGTTGGAACATACCACTATTTCAGTGCACCTAAGCTTCATTTCCATGGAAGGTTGAGAGGCTGTTTTTCAGGACCTAAAAACCAATCTCAGCTTCCAAAAATATCCTGCAATCCCCTAGGCTAGCACAGATACTTACATGAACCTGTCAGTAATTGGTGATTTTGTCCCACGCCACTGGCCTGGTTGAAGTGTTTAGGACTGTCATGTGTGTCAGGCTGGAAGGTTGATGCTGAGTGTCCCTTGCTGACTATGCTGATGGACAGTACTGCATGCACCAAATCTTGTGAACATGGAAATCTGAGGGGAGAAATTTATGCAGAGCAATAATTAACACGGTTAATTGCATTTATCTTTCATGTTGGCAGATCTGCCAACTGTCAGCTATTTCAAAATAACTCATCAGTTAGATGTCTTCACGTTGATAATTGATTCCTCAATTGTGTGTGAAGAAACCTCACGCTTATTAGAGCTAGTTAGCAGTGCATGCCTTCTGGTTTTTCCCCTGGCATTTTCAGTCTATTTGTCTTAAATGGAGGTTAATAATTTCATTTCCTTGGGGGAGAATAAACTGTGCTTCATTTTCTTTTACATTCTGGTAATCGCAGGGGATTGTAGAGCAAGATGCAGGAGTTTAAATCACCCATCTTTCATGGGAGCTGGAACATTTCGTGCTCTCCTGCTGTTTGAGTCACATTTCTTAGCCTCAAAACTATGGATGCCAAGTGTTTTTGCTAAGGAACTCTATACCTTTAGCCAAAGCCCAAGTCAGTGAAAAGTGTCCTGGAGCAATGGGCACATGTTAAGTTTGACGTCAGTGTTGGAAAATTACTCATCCTAAATGTTCTTGTATGTTGAAACCCACAAGCATCAATGTGGAGACTGTTGAGCACCCTCCACTATCACCAGTGTTAGCACTGGAGGCAACCAGAACCTTTCTGAGCCTGGCTCTGCATCTGACTTTAATTAATGGAAGTTTAAACTAGCAGGAAATGTGAAGAGAGGGAAACAAGTTAGCTCACGCACTGGAAATTATGACAGAAACTCACCAAGCTGCTCACACAAAGAGTCTGTAGGTCTACAAGGAGGTAGGTCCTTCAACTAGCCCCTCTTCCAGTAGTGAGGGACACTGCTGGAGTTCTTCACGATCCTGAAATGAAGAAAACTGTTGGGAGATCCTATGATATATATGATACTATAGTGTGTATATATATATATATATATATATACACACACTATGAAAGTCTTTTTGAGAAGGCATCAATGAGCCCTTGACTGAGTATTGATTATGAACATTTTTTCTTCCTGCCCTCAGTAATAACTTGGTTTGCTAACTGATGTGGTTTTGCAAACTGTCCATGGTCTGTACCTTTTTGGGACTCCTTATCCCAACAAACATCCTCTGTTACCTGCTGCTTGGCATCCTCTGATTCTCTTTTCCCTTGATACCATACGCTTGCTCCATTTTGCACTTCGCTGGGAGCTGACATGGCTGCAAACTGAAGGAGGAGTCTGAAAGCTCAGCCTGCCTTTGGGCTCATCACCAGCTCCAGAGACAGAGGGGTGTAAGCAGAGAGGTGCACAAAGAGCACAAAGTGAGATGCAGCCTGGGGTCTTGGATATTGCAATATTGAGGTGGAGTCGGTGACAAACAGCCAGGGTGGTCACTTGATAGTGGGTGGGCTTAGAACCACAGCAGCACCAAGGGAGTCTTGTCATGCCCATCTCTCCTTGGCATTAGGCTAGGCAGATGTCCTGAGGCACACAGGCACACAATGTGGTGAGTGTGTGCCCACACACACTCTGCAGCCGTGGCTGGCAGCACAAGTGTAAGCTCAAACTCTGGGGCCCCATCCTGCAGTGCAGGCGAGGACCTGCACCAGGAGGGCAGCTCCGCTGGTCCTCTTAGGCTGCTCACATTAGTGCTGACATGGTCACAAAACTCTTAGGACAGGGCCCAAAGCAGTTACAATTTAATGTTTATTGAAACACAGCTGTATTTATTCTTGTTAGAGAAATTTAAAAACAATAGCACACTAGGAACAATACAGCAACCAATAAAACATGAAATCATAAAGCCATTTTCAGTCATGCAACACTCTCTAGTGCTTGGACACCATAACTTGGTTAAGGAATCGGGGCATGCTAGCAGCAGTAATAAAATTAAAAATCATAGCTTGTGTTGGCAGTAGCAACACCATAAATTATCTAAAAGAGCAAAGTTTAACCTGGTCTACTTTTAAAAATTTTTATTTAGCTGTTTTTCAACTTCATCTGTGAGCAGTGAAATTGAGTTAAGTAGTCTCTTGTTCTTCTTTCTGTCAGTCAGCTGACCCATAGGAGCGTCCCCAGGGGCTTTATCTTTTAAGATTGCACCTGAGCTCACGCATTAGTTTTGAATTTAAAGTTGTGGCCCTGCCTCAGCTGTCACACAGGGACAGGAATGGTCCCAGCTTTCTCTCTCTAGGTTCTCACTGCCATAAAGTTTGAATGTGGAGATCACTGGATAATGATGTTATCTAAGAAAAAGAGGGATTTTATTACATGTTAAAAAATTATAATGTAGCATTAGAACCTGAGTCTGCCTCCAGGTAAAATAAATAAATGAACATGCAAAATTCCATCCATGAGTTAATTGCCTAATCATAAGCAATAAAACAATAGAGACCTGTAAGTTGTCACATGAATGATTCAATAACATGCTTATGTGCTGGGAAGAAAATAAAGAGTAAACCAATGCTGTCATTTAATTAGGCCTTGTAGGCTTATCATACTGTCACAGTCATATAAATCAGCAATAACTGTACTTCAGTCAATCAAGTTATCTTTCTGTAAATGCAATGTTTGTCAGGCAGGAATTGGATGAATATATAAATTACCGGCCCACTTCAAAGATCTGTGGATTCATTTCCTTTTGCTGTTGTTCCAGGCAGAACCTGCCTGCCAGTTGACTGAACACTGTGTTGCAGGCTGACACTGGGGTGAAAAAAGGAAAACAACAAGTGGAAGCTTTGGCTCATTCCTGGATGCCGCTTGCTATTTTGGTCTTGCTGTTTGCATTGTTTGGTTATTGACTGCTGTTTTTCTGAAAAAGAAGACAAATGGCTGTGTCCTTAAAGGTAAGGAGGCAGACACGTTCCTCATTGCTGTGAGCTTGTGTATTTGTAGAAACGTGGAGCCGGTGGCAGCCCTGGAGCCCGTGCAGTGTCACCTGTGGGGACGGAATCCGGGAGCGCTTCCGAGAGTGCCTCACCTCCTCGCCGGCAAAACCAGGCTGCGCTGGATCACCGAGGGAGACTTCCCTGTGCTCGCTGGAGGAGTGTGTGTGTATGTAGCTCTGCTGTCCTCTTCCCCTGCTTGCGTGACCACCCTGGCAAAAGCAAAGTGTAAAATGGAAACATCCCCTCTCTTTCAGTCATACTGATCTGGGGGGCTGTCACATTCCTGTGGTTGATGGAGCAGGGCAGGAGCCTCTGTGCATTTGATTGTGGCACACTGGAGATAGGGTTCCAAGGCATAATATTTCTGAATGCCATGGGTGCAATGGAAACAGTTTAAAATCTCCAGGATTATCAGAGTGGAGAAGTCCTGAAAGAGAGATCTTGAGGCTATCAGAACATGTTCAGTAGTGAAAGCCAAAGACTCCAGTGGGAACCTATTAAAAACTCAAAGCCAGTTAGAAAAGGGTGCTGGTTCCAGCTGGGACCTGTGGTGTGAGATTGCCGTTCTGTGAGTTTTTTGAGGTGGCAGTGCCAGGTCTCCCCCTGCTTCAGCCTGCCACTGCTGCTGGTCTGTGACAGGGCAGGCTGGCTGTAACTGATAGGTAGGGCTTTATAAAGCCTTTATAAACCCTTTCCTATTGGTAACAACTGGCCACTGCTGGTGGGTGGCAAGTAAGGGCAGATACAAGAGACCTGAGCCTTCTATAAGATGATAGGTGGATTACAGCAGCCACATGGCCTTCAGTGAGGCTGCATGAGGCTGTGCCAGCACCACGGTTGGGTGCTGACAGCCACCACTGAGGGGCATGAGAAGTGTCCTCTTTCAGCAGGGTGCTGGTGCTCAGTCTGTGCAAAACTTTTGCTTCTTGCAAATTCCCTGCTGAAAAGGAGTGTGCTGATGCCAAGGGACCACAGAGAACAGAAAGCTGATCTACAAGCTCCAGTGCCTTTGTGTCCCACAGGGGGCGGGGATGGGGAAGGAAAGATGCCCAGGAACTGTGCAGGCTCCTAGGATCTCAGACTATAATTTAACAGATTTTTTAAGCTATTGCTAACTGACCAGTGCCTTACTCCTTGCTTTGGCTGCTTGCAGGCGCTTCTTTCTGCTTACAAAATGGAGTGTGTAGAACTGGAATAGAGGCAGCTAAAAACTGGACAGTTTGGGGATGTGGGGAGTTGTTTAGCCCATGGCCACTGTAGTGCTTATGCTACTGAAAAGGAAAGGACAGCAGGGGGAGAGAATATGCAACTGGAGCAGGAAGAGGGTAGGATTATGTTTTTAATGGAAGTATTAGCTTGAACCAGCTTCGAGGTGTCCAAGCATGAAGGCCTCAGAAGTATACAGGCAGGACTGAAATGTGTTGTGGAATGCTGCAGGAAATGGGGGTAAATGGAAAACACTAAAAATTATATTCCATCGAAGTATTACATGTTGTCAGTGGTCATGAAGCACTGGGAGTGTTTTAACAGGTCTAATGTTTTTAGTGACTTGAAAATGCTGGCCATGTGAGTTTGCTTATTTAGTAAAGCTCTAAGTAAAAGTAGAGAGGAACAATTTAGATGCTTTGGGTCCTCCAGCTTAAACCAGCCCTGCTCTAGTTGTCTTCTCTATGCCAGACTCTCTGAGGCTGCTGTGGGCAGCAATGCCACCACCAAAACACGGTGGCATTGTTAGTGTTTTTCCAAAGCTGCTGTTGAGCTGTGCTATCCCATGCCTCCTGTCTATCTTCTGGAGGGGTATGTCTCTAAGTATATGATTTGGTTTGGCTCCTTACCACCTCTGGAGGTCAGAGAGCTGTCAGTCGTGGTGCAGGGAGCTCGCTGGAGGGGGTTCCTTGTGTGCAGAGCATGTGCTGGAAACAGATTTGTGTGTGGGCCTTTCTCTGCATCCATGGAGGTGACGTGCCTCTGGTGCTTCTCAGAGGGGTCACTCCTCCTGTGCCAATGTGCAGCTGTAAAAGGTGTATGCTGGTGTCCAACCATCGTGTGCATACACTGTGCAAACACCTGTGGCAGTCTGGTTGGACTCAGCGGGTCTGGACAATCCCCAGATTCCAGTGAGGTCTCCAGGTTAATAAGAAGGGTTAATACATAGAGAGCACAGATGCAAAGGAGGCCTGCATCTGCACCCATTGCCGTGGGATCATCTGGAGGAAATAGCTCGCTTAATCCTCCTGCTCCCACATGGGGCATGTTCCTTTACAGAATCACATACATGATTTCATCCCGTTGAATCTCAGCTTGCTCAAGAAGTGGTTTTACACTCTGACTTTGTAGTGTTCATCCACTGCCTGATGTCAAGCTGGGAGTGTCACCCTCACCCTTTCCACTCTGGCTGTCTGCAGCTTTTGGAAGCAGACAGGTTCTGTTTCCAGCATAGCTCTTAAGACATTAGTCCAGCAGATGGAGCAAATGGCTGAATGAGCAAGGCCAGCATGCAGTGTAGGGGCCAGTGAGGTGCAGGGAGAAGTGAAGCATAGGGACCCAGTCCTGTTTGGAACCTCTCAGTTCCTTGCTGTTAGCTGTGTACCCCAAACAGTGCAGCACAGCATGTATTACAAACATGAGCAAACACGACTGAGAGAAGGATGCAGAATGAATTCATTGCTCTGCTGCAGTGGTGCTGAATACAGCAAATGCTGGCCCTGCCTGCTTCTCTGAGGTCAGCTTGTTCACTCGGTGCTCTGGGCTCTGGCATAGGGGCATTGGACTGAATGCAAATTTTAGAGATCTTTCTATAGGATTCAGCAGGGAGTGGTCTTGTTCTTTTAAGTTGGTTTCAATATCTCAGAGTGACACAAAGATCAAAGTTAATCCAATGGCAGGATTTTTTAGAGGACTTGGGATTGTTAGGTAACCCTGAAATAGGGAACTGGATCTCCTTCTCAGCCCAGCAGCCTGCATGTCTGTTCTGTAGCAGCCTGAGACCTTCTGCCTGTGTTCATCAGTGCATTTGTGCATCCTGCCCACCTAACAGCTGCACTACCAGCTTGCTGTTGAGTGTGTGTTCTCCTGAATTATGGGAAGTACATGGTGTCCAGTTCTTTTTATTCAGTAATCACATTTCCTATTCCCAGACAGTCACTGTGGTGCAGGCAGGAGCACCTGCCAAGTCTTACAGCTGTGTGTCTGTCAGTCTGATGGAAGGCTTTGGGTTCTGGATAAAAACTAGAGACTAGAGCAGGGTTGTTCAGTGGTTTCATTGGAGCTCACACCTTTACAGCCAGCTCTTGTCAACTGCAACTAACAAGCCTTATCCTCCAACAAAATCTTCATGGATGTAGGGAGCTCTGATGTCTGACCAAAACAAAAAAATTTGGGCAGTGGTAACAGATACTAAAATTAGCTACTGGACCAATTAATCCACTTTCAACCATGCTGTATTGTGCTCAAGATTGCCCCTGAAATGCTCGAGACCTCATTCAAAAAAAAAAAAACCAAAAAAACCCCAGAATTGCCAATTTGTCATTGGTTCAGCCATCTGTAATGCGGTGGACTGGACTAGTGAGAGGTTTAAACAGGGCTGTGGGCAGCTCTGAGACTGTCACATAACAGGTTAGAATCATAGAATGTCTCAAATTGGAAGTGGCCTGTAAGGATCATAGAGTCCAACTCCCTGCTCCCCCAGGACTACTAAGCTAAACCATATGACTGAGAGCATCATCCAGACAGTCTGTGAATTCTGGCCATGATGTCTGTCCCAGTGACTAATTATCTTCTCAGTGAAGAAGGGTTTGCAGAGTATTCTTCCCTGTTCGAAGTCCCATCTCCAGTCTGCAACAGAAGGGTATCAATAGTAGAATGCTGGAGAAAGAGCAATGGAACTTTCAGTTGAAAGCTTGCTGTGGCATGGGAAGGTTTTGTCCTCTGGGACTGTGGCACCAGACAGTGGTAGAAGCATCCTCAGAGGACTGCTTTAGAAAAGTTGTCTCTCCTGATGCTGCCTCTCTCTTCAAATTCATTTCAATTCTCACACCCACTTAAGCGCTCCTAAAAATTATTTTAAATTGATACCTGAAGTACTAGCCTGGTTTGAATTATTTTTACCCCCTTTATGTCACTTTTCAACAGAGAATCTAAATGTACTTCATAAAGAAAGGCAAACAGAGTTCCTTCATTTTACAGGTATGCATTAATACCTTATGGAAATGGCAGAACAGGAAAAAATACTAATTACATTTAAAAGGTCTGTGGGAGCCTTGGTTTAAAGTAAGTAGATGTTCGTGCCAGTTTGAAGTCATCAAATTGTAAGTCATCTCCAATGAGCAAATTTTAATGGCAGACAACTTCCTGTACTGTATTAATGGCCTCTTTTCCTTAGTAGTGAAGTATCCATCCTCAAATACCAAAATACTGCTGCCAGTGCAACTCTGAGAGATGTGTGTGTTCTTTCTTACAGCTGTCCAGCCTCCCACCCCACCTTCTGTTCAGCCAGGAGAGGACCAGAAAGCAAATAATATAGTTACCATCACAGGTATTTCACTGTGTTTGTTCATCATCTTTGCCACTGTTCTTATCACCCTCTGGAGGAAGCTCTGCAGAGCTCAGAAGTGCAGCACTGCCGTCCGTCGAAACTCCGTCCATTCCCCCGGCTTCCGGAAAAACTCAGATGAGGAGAACATTTGCCAAGGCAACAAGCAACGGGACAGCTTTGTTGAAGGAGGGGACGCCCCTGTTAACATTCCCCTAACCTACAGGCGAAGCCTCCAATTTGCCCAAGAAGATGATGCCTCTGGAAATGAAAACTTTCAGCCAAATGCCCAAAAAATAATCCCTCCAATTTTCAGCTATCGCCTGGCACAGCAGCAGCTGAAAGAGATGAAGAAGAAAGGCCTGACAGAGACCACTAAAGTGTACCATGTCTCTCAGAATCCTCTCACAGACACGGTTCTTGGTGCCACCACGATGCTTCCCCTGAGCGGGGAAAACCAAGAGGAGGCAGTGGCAAACAAATTTCGGATCAAATCACCATTTCTGGACCAGCCAGCCAGTCAGCCCAAGTTCCTGGGAGAAGGCTCTCACCCTAGGCTGGATTTTCCATTCTCACAGGCCAATCCTGCAATGAGCCCTACCCAAACCTTGGTAAGAAGAGGTCATTTCAAGCACCAGGATAACAGAGTGGACTTGCCTGAGAGGGGCTGTCACAAAAACTCGCAGTTCAGAAGAACAGCCAGTTTCCATGAAACTAAAAAGGCCAGGCCTTTCAGAGAGAGAAGCATGTCCACACTCACACCCCGACAGACTCCTCTCTATAACTCCAGGACCAGGACGTGGGACCAGGGTCTGGAGGACAGGACACGGCCAAAATCGAGAAACGCTAACCCAGCTTGTGAAAAGCTGGATCAGCCCCACAGCGCTGTGCTGGGGTGTGAACCACAGGGCCATCATGCAAAACCCCACCACAGGGCAGGTCCCCCGGTGAGGAAGCTGGACCTGATCACAGACCGCCAGCCTGCCGGTCAGGAGAAGGCAGCTGAGAAGCCTGAACCCAGCCGAAGTAAGAGGGGCCCTTCACCTAACCCCAAAGGTGTATGGCGGAAAGAAACCGGCCCAAATGGCAAAGATAATTCCCAGAGAGGCCTAAGCATCAGCCCTGCCCAGTATCGAAGGGACAAGTGCCAGAGCTTCCCTCTGGACCCTGAGTTTGCCTTTTATGACAATTCTACTTTTGGCTTAACGGAGGCGGAGCAGCAGATGATTGACCTCCCTGGGTATTTTGGCTCAAATGAAGAAGATGAAACAAGTACTCTGAGCATTGAGAAGCTGGTGATCTGAGTGACTCATTGCAGCCCTGCAGGAGTGGCATGCGTGGGAGAGGATCTGCAGGATCGGCTGGCTTCAGGTGAAAGAGCGAGCAGGAGTCACGTTACCTCCACACACAGCAGCAGGGAGTAATGCCCCAGGTCTGGCTTGTGGGAACATATTCCATTCTATTTACTGAAAAGTGCTTTCATATAAATATTTTTTGTATGTATGTGTGTACAAGATACACAAAGTACCCTGGGAAGGAACGTATTAGTTAAGATGTGGTGCAGGAATATCCAATAGATTTTGTTGTGTAAAGCAGTCATGTTTTGTGCATCATACATGATGAGTGCCACTGATATTTCCCACCTTGTCGACTGTGTACTGGTAGACTGTGAGATACTGAAGCATCCACTGTCCAGCATCCTCAACCATCTGCCCTGATTAGTGAATTGTTTCCCATCTAGAAAGCACAAAGCTCAGTCTGTGGGCAGTTTTTATCATTTTTTCTTATAGTTATCAGTGAACTGCATTGATTTGTAATTATTACTCAAATAACCCATATGGTGGGGGTTTTTTAACTGGTTGCATGAAAGTGCAAACAGTTGATGCTGAGTACTTGAGTGAATTTAAAATTGTGGAGACATTTTCATCATTCAAGACTTTGTTATTTTCTTACTGTCAATATTTATATCAAGAAAACAATGCACAAATATTTGCAGGAAATTTGTACAAAAGGCATGCTACAGGGAGGGCAGAGCAAACAGATGATCAGATTTTAGTCCTCACAGAAATGTTACCGCAGCATGTTACCTGCAAAAAGCAGTGAGAGAACTGTTGAATTATGCATCCTTCCCATAGTCGTCCTTTCCTTTTGTCCTAGTTGAGGGCAAATTTGGGGAAAACCCTCTGAAGGGAGCCCCCAGGAAATAAACCCCCACGGCCCCTCCCCACCCACCTGGTTCAGGGAAAAATTTCCTCTGAGAGGGAAGTGGAAAAGAACCTGTTTATTCAACAAACAAAGCACTCCCCAGCACCAAAACAATTAACGACACTAGATGACAACAAAACTCTTTCACCCCTCTGAAGAGATGAACAAATCCAGAAGGTCTTTCCTGGGAGTGGTCGCCCGGGTCTGGACGCTGGGGATTGCTCTCCAGCACTGGGGATGGCTGCTGCAGATCACCAAATGCAGGCTCCTGGTGTTCCTTGGTGTTTCCTAGATCCCAGTCCAGAGCAGGTTGGATGATATTCAGAAAGAGGAAAGGAAAAAAGCAACAGTCCAGGGAAAGAATTGGACTGCTTAACCTAACTAGGAAGCAAAGCAAGAAAGCAGGTAAAGCAAGCAAGCCAAGCAAGCAGGTAAAGCAAGCAAGCCAAGCAAGCAAGCAAGCAAAGCAAAAGCCAGTCAGCCAGCCCTAGCCTTTTCTAGACAGCAGACCATGGGGGGAGGTGAACCAGATGATAACGCGGCAAAACAAACCTTCACTTTCAGAGTCAGTTCTGAAAGCACAGAACATAGTATCAAACATAAACAGAACACACGATTGGAGATACAAACACCATAACAGTCACCCTAGGACATTCCACCCCTTATCTCCATATCTTCAACATCATGTAAAAACTCCATCAAGTTAAAACTTGTATCTTTCACTTACTCATACCTTCGACACTTACACATTTCCTTCTATTTCACTTGCTCAAACCTTTGACACTTACACATTTCCTTCTATTTCATGTCTGTGTGCTTTCATGCACAGACATTGGCAGTAACATCCAGCAAACAGTGATATTTGCACAATAGTTTCACCCCACAATCAGATCTCCCTGAGGTACACATCGTGTTGTTCCATCTCTCTGCATTATCCACCATGTACAACCTGGTCCCTGAGCAAAGACAATCCCACAAATGGGTTTGTCTGTACTCGAGGCAGGATTGATCCACACTGATTTCCCTAACAAACCTCTGACATGTGCCACTGGGACTTTATCTCCGTCTACTATATTCAGGGGCTCAGACTGGGCAGGACCTGCTCGATTGGTGGAACCTCGGCTGTTAACTAACCAGGTGGCCTTTGCTAAATGTTGCTCCCAATTTTTGAAAGATCCCCCACCCAATGCTTTTAAGGTGGTTTTTAACAGTCCATTGTACCTCTCCACTTTGCCTGCAGCTGGTGCATGGTAGGGGATGTGGTACACCCACTCAATGCCATGTTCCCTAGCCCAGGTGTTGATAAGGTTGTTCTTGAAATGAGTCCCATTGTCTGACTCAATCCTCTCAGGGGTACCATGCCTCCAAAGGACCTGCTTTTCAAGGCCCAGGATGGTGTTACGGGCTGTAGCATGAGACACAGGGTAGTTTTCCAACCATCCAGTGGTGGCTTCTACCATTGTGAGCACGTAGCGCTTGCCTTGGCGTGTCTGGGGCAGTGTGATGTAATCAATCTGCCAGGCCTCCCCATACTTGTACTTGGACCACCGCCCACCATACCACAGGGGCTTCACCCGCTTGGCCTGTTTGATGGTAGCGCATGTCTCACAGTCATGGATAACCTGAGAAATACTGTCCATGGTTAGATCCACCCCTCGGTCTCGTGCCCCCTTATAAGTGGCATCTCTACCCTGATGGCCTGAGGCATCATGGGCCCATCGTGCTAGGAACAACTCTCCCTTGTGTTCCCAGTCGAGGTCTATCTTTGATACCCCTATCTTCGCAGCCTGATCTACCTGCTGATTGTTTTGCTGCTCTTCATTAGCTCTGCTTCTGGGGACATGGGCATCTACATGGCGAACCTTCACAGGTAGCTTCTCTACCCGGGTAGCGATATCTTTCCACTCTTCAGCAGCCCAAATTGGTTTTCCTCTACGCTGCCAGTTAGCTTCTTTCCACCTCTCTAGCCACCCCCACAGAGCATTGGCTACCATCCATGAATCAGTGTAGAGGTAGAGCTTTGGCCACCTCTCCCTTTCTGCAATGTCTAGGGCCAGTTGAACGGCTTTGAGTTCAGCAAACTGGCTTGATCCACCTTCTCCTTCAGTGGCCTCTGCAACCCATCGTGTGGGACTCCATACAGCTGCTTTCCACTTCCGATTCATCCCTACGATGCGACAGGAACCGTCAGTGAAGAGAGCATAGCGTGTTTCCTCTGCTCGCAGTTGGTTGTATGGTGGAGCTTCTTCAGCCCGTGTCACTGGTTCTTCTTCTTCATCTGCGACACCAAAACTTTCACCTTCGGGCCAATTTGTAATTACTTCCAAAATCCCAGGGCGATTCAGCTTACCAATATGGGCACGCTGCGTAATGAGAGCAATCCACTTGCTCCATGTAGCACTGGTGGCATGGTGGGTGGAGGGAACCTTTCCTCTGAACATCCACCCCAGCACCGGTAGTCGGGGTGCCAGGAGGAGTTGTGCTTCTGTGCCAATCACCTCTGAGGCGGCCTGGACTCCCTCGTAGGCGGCCAAGATTTCCTTCTCTGTTGGGGTGTAGTTAGCTTCAGACCCTCTGTAGCTCCGACTCCAAAATCCCAGTGGTCGGCCCCGAGTCTCATCAGGCACCTTCTGCCAAAGGCTCCAGGACAGACCATGGTTCCCGGCTGCAGAGTAGAGCACGTTCTTCACATCTGGTCCTGTCCTGACTGGGCCAAGGGCTACTGCATGAGCAATTTCCTGCTTTATCTGGGCAAAAGCTTGCTGCTGCTCAGGGCCCCAGCAGAAATCATTCTTCTTGCGGGTGACCAGGTAGAGGGGACTCACGATCTGACTGTACTCAGGAATATGCATTCTCCAAAAACCAATGGCGCCTAAGAAAGCTTGTGTCTCTTTCTTGTTGGTTGGTGGGGACATGGCTGTGATCTTGTTGATGACATCTGTAGGAATCTGACGCCGTCCATCTTGCCACTTCACTCCCAAGAACTGGATCTCTCGAGCAGGTCCCTTCACTTTACTCTTCTTGATGGCGAAACCAGCTTCCAGGAGGATTCGGATGATTTTCTCTCCTTTCTCAAACACTTCTGCTGCTGTGTTCCCCCACACAATGATATCATCAATATATTGTAGATGTTCTGGAGCCTCACCCTTTTCTAGTGCAGTCTGGATCAGTCCATGGCAGATGGTAGGACTGTGCTTCCACCCCTGGGGCAGTCGGTTCCAGGTATACTGCACTCCCCTCCATGTAAAGGCAAACTGAGGCCTGCATTCTGCTGCCAGAGGAATGGAGAAAAATGCATTGGCAATATCAATAGTGGCGTACCACTTCGCTGCCTTGGACTCCAGCTCGTACTGGAGTTCCAGCATGTCTGGCACAGCAGCGCTCAGTGGTGGAGTCACTTCATTCAATGCACGGTAGTCCACAGTCAATCTCCATTCTCCTTCAGATTTACGCACAGGCCAAATGGGGCTGTTGAAGGGTGAGTGGGTTTTGCTGACCACCCCTTGGCTCTCCAGCTCTCGGATCATCTTATGGATGGGAACCACAGCATCTCGAGTTGTTCTGTACTGTCGACGATGCACTGTTGAAGTGGCAACTGGTACCTTTTGTTCTTCTCCCTTCAAAAGTCCTACTGTAGTTGGATTCTCAGACAGTCCAGGCAAGGTGTTCAGTTGCTGGATGCCCTCTGTCGCTACAGCTGCTATCCCAAATGCCCACTTGAGTCCCTTTGGGTCTTTAAAATACCCCCTTCGAAGGTAATCTATGCCCAAAATACATGGGGCCTCTGGGCCAGTCACAATAGGGTGTTTCTTCCACTCATTTCCTGTCAGACTTACATCAGCTTCCACCACGGTAAAGTCCTGTGATCCACCTGTCACACCGGCGATAGAGACAGATTCTGCCCCTACGTGTCTCAATGGAATTAACGTGCATTGTGCACCAGTATCAACCAAAGCCTTATATCTTTGTGGGTCCGATGTGCCAGGCCAGCGAATCCACACAGTCCAGAAAACACGGTTTTCCCTCGCCTCTACCTGGCTAGAGGCAGGGCCCCTCTAAGCCTGGTTATCCTTCTTGCCTTGGGCGTATGTCTTAGAGGTTCCTTCAAGGGGGTCAGACATGTCATCATCATCATCATGCCTGGCAGTTTGGCTACGGGCAACTGGAGCTGCTCTCCTTTTGGTGGCACTTCCTCTCTGAGTCTTACCTTCCTTCAATTCATGCACCCGTTGTGCCAGAGCACCAGTAGGTTTTCTGTCCCATTTCCTCATGTTTTCTCCGCAATCGCGCAGGAAGAACCACAGCTCAGTTCGTGGGGTGTACCTTCTCTCACCATCTGAGGAACGTCTACGTTGGATACCAGAACCTCTGATCTGTACTGCTGAGATTTGGAGAAGGTCCTCCTTTATCTCCTCCCTGAGTCTCTTATGATTCTCCTCTATCTTATCTTCTAATTTCTGCAGACGTGTTTCCACTGCTGCAATTCTGGCATGGGTTGGGCTATGTACAGCATCTGCATATGCTCGGAGTTTCCTTGCCATTTCGAGCACGGTCTCATCCCTCTCATCTTGCTTCATTATTGCTAAGGCAGAAGCGTAGTCATGTGGCCCAAGCTGTACAAGTTTTCGCCACATCACAGATGTACATGGTACCAAGTCTGGATTCCTAGTTGTTATTTCATCTGAGAAGATAATCTCTGCCACTGCCATTTCTCTCAGACATTG